TGTTACCATTCCACAATTACATTCTAATGACTTTTCCAACTTCTTTCGCAAGTTCATAATTCGAAACAATTATGCCAGACTCACCGAAATTCGATTAGTAGATCGTGGTTTTGCTACAAAAAAAATAAGGGGAGATTGATTAATTAATCCTTTTATACGTTTTTCATAAGTAAAGCGAAACTAACAAATATTTCAACTTTCCGTTATATTCAAATTATCTACAAGTTAAAACGAATCGAGGATTATTGCTAATCAGGAAATAAGATTTTTCGGATTAGATCCATCATCAATGTTAGTCGTAATTATCGTGTGATTTTGTATCTACATATTCTCAACGATATCCTCCGCCTGAAGTCCTCGACATATTGAAATGATATTTTGGCTATTAATCTTGTTGCACGTTAAGGATGAAAATTCTTTGAATGTACGTACCATCGAAAATCTATTTGACTGCATGTTGATTAGTACGAAGCATGAGACGCATTGCAAATTATGAATTTTTTCTGTGAACAACATTCGAGATTAGACACGTTGTAGTTGGTAGAACCCGTCAATATGACTCACATATTCTTTACTACCAGTGATGAACCCGTTTGTTAACTCGGTCAATTCGGTAATAGTCTATAATGATCCTTGGGTGATTACAACACTCGGTAAATGAACTCTGCCTAGGGATGAAACTCCAAATTTCGTTGAATCAAGCTCTATTTCTTTCGAAATCTGGCTCTATGTAATCTTCATAATAAATCCAACACCAGCTACCAGCGGTATTTCGTTTTCTGCTACAGCATTTCGAAATGCTATTTTCAGTGTATTACCAGCGAGGTGGATAATATTCTAAATCGAACAACATTCCCATCTAACGTTTTCTGCGGAATTACCTTACGTTTAACATTTTTTTTGAAGTTGACATAAGGCTTTATTTTTTAGGTTGGGAATGAATGCTTGTACAATTAATATGGGGTGAGTGCTGGGAAAAGGAACCAAATCATCAAAAAATTATTTTTTTAAATAATGAAAGTTCTGGATCAGATAAGATAGATTTAATTTTACTTAACAATTTTTTTGAAAAAATTTTTAATTTTTCCTAGCACTCACCCCATATATGGACACTAGTTTGTGTGCAAATATTTTTAATCTTTATATCTATTCGTACATAACCTCTTCTTTAGCAAGCACTAAGCTAAAAATCTTACCTTTATTATTTCCGGGATTTGCTAGTAAATCTGAGTTATAGCCAAACTTCCAAATTTAGATCGTAAAGCTTTGGATGATGTACACATCACGTTAGGGTGGAATCTATATGTAGTCCCTAAAATTTATTTATAATACAGATTTTTTTATAAATATTTTTAATCGAAGAATTTTGATAGGAATTTACACAGGGTATTTGACAAAATGGTACAAGAATTTCTAACATTAGAATAACTAGCATTAGATTACTGAATGTATTATTTTTTCAAACATTTGCTTAAAGAGATGTAAAGCCTGGTCCTCGCAAAATATGTTTTCCTGTACTTCCTTTTTTGAATTACATCTTTGAGAACGTACTTTTCCAATCCATCACAATTTCATTTATTTTATCATTTTTCTTTGCATATAATTTTGGGCCTGTATACGGGCAAATTTTGAAATTAGAAGCATTTTTCTACTAAAAAATCCGAAACTTTTAAATTAAATTTTGAAGTATCATAAATCCATTAATTTTTTTTAAATCAAAATCAAAAATTAGTTATTTAATATTATTGTCTAATTTAACAAATAGATAAATATTTATTGCTATATATTTCTCTTAATGTAGAGACTGGCTATAATATAATAATGTATTAAAGTTAACGAATTATAGTATTGATCAATAAATAATAGTTATTGTTGTATTTATCATCATAATAAAACTGATTCAGTTTCAAATTTGTTAATAAATTTAGTAAAAATAATTTTGTTTTTTAAATATAAAAATTTTTTTGACACTTGATACTTCATTGCAATCATTGAAATAAAAACGATAAGTTATTTTGTATCAGGTTAATGCTTAAATATCTACTATAAACCTTACCTACAAAAATATTTGCAATTAAAACTGATTCTAGTAAGAAATGATTTTGATAATATATTCATTTAAAATTTAATGGTTTATTACCTTCTAATTCTTTTAATAATTTATATTTGTAAAAGAAATATATTTGGAACAATTTAACTTTATTATGTTACTATTAATGGAGAAAAAAAAATTTTTATTAAAAACAGATTTTAAATCGACATTTACTGTATACTAAAATAGAAAATAATTAGCAGAATATGAGTCCTAAAAAGGAAATTGGTCAAAAGAAAATTTCTGTTAACATCATTTCGAAACAGCCCATCTTCTATCAGAACAAAATAAGACAATTTAAAAATATTCATTTATTAGTTTAATTTTTTTTTTTACTTTTTTGGGTTCTTTCGCTTTGGGCCGCAGTGATATACCGATTCTGATTTAATTATTCTTTAAAATTATTAATTATTAAATTAAATCCTCTTCCAACTTGAAGTACGCGGTGTTATTTTTTTTTTAGTTTAGTTTTTAGTTTCTTTATTTTTATTTTTATTTTATTTGTCCGCAATTTCGATTTATCTATTTGAGTTTGCTTTACATATCAATTTTGTAATTAGGGTTGTTTTGTTTATTAATATTATTATTGATCATTTCGCAATTATTCTTCTCAAATCAAGTGGTTTTGCTTATTTAACGATTCTGATTCGATTTGCGATTATTAATACAATCCCTACATCCTAACTAGACAATCAAAAAAAAATTTATTCTCATTTATATCACTCTTCAAAATAGAACGAAAGTAAATATATGATCATCTCACAAAAAGTAATCCAAAATAGAAATTTGTTAGATTATCTTTTAGAACAAAAGGATTGATTATTGAATCGAATATTTTATTTCTTTATAAAAAGGCTCTGATTCTCAACTAGGTCTGAAAAAAAAACTTGATTAAAAATTAAAACATACCTTTGAAAAGAAAATAGTAATCATGAACCGAACATTTATTTTTGCATTAATTTTAATGGTTGTGTTTTCCACAGCCAATGCAAAAACAAAATTTAAAAAATGTGAAAATGATAGATTTTCACCACCCCTACTCTCTGTTAAAATTCATCCTGATCCAGTCGTCTCCGGAAAACTCGCAACTTTTAAGGTTTCTGGAACTATACCTGCAAAAATCACAGAAAATACCGCAATTCTTGCTTATTATAATGATCTTGTATCTAAACAAATCTTAGGCGATCATCATCTTGAAAGTATTTGTGAAGGAACAGAGTGTTCAATTGAAGCTAATACTACATTTACTAAAAAATTTAAGTTTCTGACACCACACTTACCTTTTGACTATCAAATTAATGTTGCTGTTGTAGAAACATTTGACGGAAAACCTGATCTAGGACCATATCTAGCTTGCGCAAAGGCAACAGTTATAATTCCTATCCCTACCTAATTGATTCTGCGATTGCTGCGCTTCCTATCACTCTATAATATTATCTTTATTTTTAACTTATTTTTTTATCATTTTTATTAGTGTAGAGTAATTTATTGATAGAATTTATTTACCATAACAATTATTCTGAATAAGGAGTTCTTAATTTAGTAACACTTAGGCACTTTAGAAAAACATATTTTACATTTCACGATAATTGTTTTTTGACCGATCGGTAATTTATTTTGATCTTTGAAAAAATTAATAAAGTTTCATTTGGGTTATATATATATGAGAGTATTATTTGTATGAATTTCACGAAAATCATTGATATCCCAGTGAAATAATTATTACTTATTTTAAATGAATTTGAACAATTATAATAAATCTAAGTTAGATATCTTAACTCGAATTTGACTCAAAACTCAATCTGACTTGAATAAATTTGAGTTTAAATCGAGTCGAGTTGAGTAAAAATTTATTTTGCTCGAAACAAGTCGATTTAAAAATTTTATAAAATTTGACTTGAAAAAAGAGAGTTGATTCTTAAATTAACTCGACTCGACTCAAATAATTTCGCCTTTATCCATCAGCTTGTGGAAGAATTGCATCACTTTTACGACAATGCTTTTTAAGTAAAAATTGGAGCACACTTACCTTTTTTAAATGAATATTTCTTTGTGAGCATTCTGTTAGTCAAGAATACAAAGGTAGTATTTCTTCACATATAAAAAGTAAAGTTCATATAAAAATAAATAAAACTACACAAAATACATATTCTCAAATTTTTAGAAAATGTCTTGTATTTTGCAGAATCTAAAAAGTGATAATTCGGACCTTATAGAGGCATTTGTCAAAGCATACATACAAGGGAATTATTAAGAACGTTAAGTTATCATTCTTTCTTGAACGATATATTATCGTTCTTCTTAAAAGATTTATTATCTACTTGATATCTTCTTAGAAACCAATCTTGGTGACCGATTATAGTGTTACGAGTATGGATCTAACCCGATAAACCTTTCAGTTTAAAATTCATGTAAAAATAAAAAGAAAAACTCTATTTTTCATATTTTAAAATGAAATTTTTAGTATTATTGTTAGTTTATTATACGGAACGTATAGTTTATTCTGGTAAAGAAAACGAATAAATAAAATCGAATTTATGCAATGTGAATATAAACTGAACACCTTTATATATATCGCTTATCGTGCTGCATAAACCAAATGTACACTATATTTATAATGTAAGAAGTACTGGCTAGTTTTTAAAACAAAAAAATTCCGAGTTTATTTCAATAGATTTAGGATTTATTCTTATTTTATATTTTATATAAATTTATAACATGAGATTATGCACGTTGTTTTTGGTAGAATCACGTCAATATGACTCACAAACTCTTTGCTACCAAGCGATGAACCCGTTTGTTAACTTGGCCAATTCGGTAATAGCCTATAATGATCCTTGGGTGATTACACCATTCGGTAAATGAACTCTGCCTAGGGATGAAACTCCAAATTTCGTGAATCAAGCTCTATTTCTTTCCATTATTCATCGAGATCTGGTTCTATGTATTCTTCCTAGTTAATTATTAAAATTAAATTAAATCCTCTTCCAGCTTGAAGTACGCGGTGTTATTTTTTTTTTTAGTTTAGTTTTTAATTTCTTTAAATTAATCATTTTATTTTTAAGTTTTCTTTATAGATTCTTTCAATTACTTGCGTCTGAAAACAATGTTTCGCTAGATACAGAAGTTGCAGGAGTAGATAGATATTTTTTATATAAAGTTGAGATAAAAGATAAGAGCTGCTTTTGTTTACATCCCACCACTTTAAAGGATGTAATATCAATTTGCTGAAGTTTAATAAAATTCGAATGAAAA